TGCTGCATTGAACCAGTCGACTGCCATCACCGTCCTTGGCAACAACTGTTCCCGGCGGGCAAGCTTCAGAAAGGCAGTAATTCTGGCAAGATTTTTGTGAGGCGAAGTTGTTGCGATTTCCTAGAATCAAGCGAGTTTGCGTCAAATGACGTGAAATTCAAAGCGTAAATAGGAAATTATCCCATTTTCTGCGAATTTTTCAGCAATTTTCTCCGATTTTTTCTGGCTACGATATTCCAACATATATGAAGTGTTTGGCGTGATGATGGACAAATGGAAGGATTAAATTGAGAACAACGTATTACCTTCACAACCATTGTACTCAAAAGTCTGACAAGTTTTTGTGTCAGCGTTGAAGTACCATCTCGTGATCCGTGTACTCGAGCAACGTACTCCCACATCTCTCGGCTGAGAGCAAACGAAATTCTTCGATGGACAGCACAATGATTTTGTTTGGTAGACAGTTCCTAAACGTTTTTACGTTATCGAGCTTTTTTAGTTACTAATACTAATCCGAAAATTAAAAGAAACAAGCTCGAAGTTCAGTCCTCTACATAACTGTTAAGGTTTCGAACTGACAGTAACTTGCAAGAATTTATTGGAACATGTATAAGTATTTTCAGTTAGTCTAGCCACCTAAATCTTCCCTAAGATAAATTTCGCCTTTCTGGTTCTAATGAATTTGAGAATGATTATCGATGAATTCTCTTGAAGAAATAAGTCAAAAGCTCCGTTTAATCGAGAGTGGTACTTGATCTTAACAGACATAATTTCGAATCCCAAAAAGCCTTCTTATGGAAATTTGGCAGGCTGCAAACGAAGAAGAGAGTTTATTTTGAAACCTAAACATATTCGTAGTGACTCTGACTGCAAGGCAAATGAGAGGCGATGCTACCTTAGTTCGGATTCCGCGCTGTCCACAACACTCAAGATTTGGATCACTCGTAAAAAATTTCAAAAAGAAAATAATCTTATGGAAGTAACTAAATCCTAAAGGAATTTATGGACTGAACAGTCTGTTTTTTCCTTTCTTTTCTTTCCTACATGACTCTGCAAAGATTCTCACCGGTCCACGTGGTCACTGGTGTGCAATAATGTGTTGAGGGGCACTGACGACTAGTAGTGCATGCTCGAGCTGCACCATTTTGTTCCTTCCAAACCTAAAAACAGCTGATTATCTTACCCCCTTGGTCTTGCTATTGCCTTCGCACTAATCTTCCCTAATTTTCGTGAACTGTATGAAGATAAGCTCTCCTCTAAACCTAGGATACTTAGAAGAGCATCTCAGCGATGTGTCGGAGTGGATTGGACCCCGGTACAGAAAGGTACCGACAAAAAAGAACAAACAACGGCTCTCACTCGCTCAATCCTCATTAGTCAATAGAGCGCAGATTAGCTGCGGGTCAGGCGAAGCACGTACGACGGCAAACATGACCCTGTACTGCGTCGTCGTTCAATCGCCACCCCCTTGATTTGGCTGGCGACAATGAAGCTAACCCTTTCGACGATTTAAAAAACAAATAAGCACACCTCTCCTCCATCCGGGCATGACTCTACACGACAGTAGTCCTTGCAGTCCTGCTGGGTGGCGAAATTGTTCGAATTTCCGTCACAACCATTAAATGAGTACGTTTGGCATGTCCTTGTGGTCGAGTCGTAGTACCAACGAGTAACCGCTGGACCACAGGAGGCACCGGACTTGTATGACAGCGAGCAAGTGTAAGCTGAAATCGAACGTTAGCAAATGCTTTAGAAATAAATTCCTTCAAATTTTCTAGAGTTTCTATTCAACAATTAGAAATCTAACTCGTGAACTGTTATTAATTTCCAACCTTTCTAAAAAATAATATTCAATATTTCCATAACGAAGTTGTCACAACAAAAGCGGCAAAGTCAATTGATGGCGGTTCTTCAGGTCCACGAATGACAATGGAGGTTTGTTTACAGTATGGTCAAAGAACGGAGAGGAAACTAATACTTCACATCTTCCAACAATACCTATTGATCATTCTTGCCAAGTACTTATCTCTTTGCCTTTGAGCGCAATATTTGTTCAACTTTACAGTCTTTAGACCATTTTTTGCGTACATAGGAAGTACCTAGAAATATTTGCATCCAAAGCATTTCATAGTTATATCTAATGTAATTCCTCAAATCAAACTCTTTATATGGCTTGTTTTCGTTACGAGACAGGTGAATCTAAAAATTGACCGTGTTCATCAAAGTCTGTGGTTATATGATGTTAGTCATTGAGTTGGTCGGTTACCAAAGACTTAACAAGTGAAAATTTTCGAACAGCAAAAGTTATTTCGAAGATTTGTAAGAAATTTCTTTGTTTACCTATGCAATCAATGCAAGACGATATAAAGTGCCCTGAATTGTTAGCAGGATCTCCCACATGCATTAATTAACAATGTGGTGTTCTAAAGATAAATTAAGTGCTGAAACTAAACATGGTCCATCCAATCCTCTTCAGACCAGCCAAAAAGCG